GCCGGACGCCGCCGCCGCCGACCTGAGCACCTACAGCGCCGAGCACCTGCTGAGCCGCTGCCAGCCGGGCGACCTGGTGGAGTTCGTGTGCCCGGCGCAGTACCCGCACTGGGCCGTGTACGTGGGCGACTTCCAGGTGGTGCACCTGCAGCGCCTCGAGGTGCTCAGCAGCTTCCTGACGGACGCCAGCCAGGGCCGGCGGGGCCGCATCGCCAACGCGCTGTACCGCTACCCCGCGCTCAGCCCCGCCGCCGTGGTGCGCAACGCGCTGGAGCAGGTGGGCTGCAAGGAGCGCGAGCTGAGCTGGCGCAACTCCGAGTGCTTCGCCGCCTGGTGCCGCTACGGCCGGCGCGAGTTCAAAATCGGCGGCGAGCTCCGCATCGGCAAGCAGCCCTACCGCCTGCACCTGCGCCTGGGCCAGCGCCGCGCACACACGCTCGAGTTCCAGAGCCTGGAGGACCTCATCATGGAGAAGCGCCGCAACGACCAGCTCGGCCGCGCCGCCGTCCTGCAGGAGCTGGCCGCTCACCTGCAGGCCGACGAGGAGGACGGCGAGGAGGAGGCGGTGGAGGGCGGCAAGCAGTAGCCCCCCCCCGGGGCCGCTGGAGGATGCGAGGGTCCCGGCTGCGCTGGTAGAGGGCAAAACTCAGGGAGATGCGGCCCCTTGTGTCGGCCGGACCCGGTGCCCATGCTTTTCAGGTGCTCCCCGGCATGATTTCCACCCGTCTAGCGCTGCTACATGGCACCCACGATTCAGGTGCCAGCTAGGCGTAGTGCTCCCTGGCACTTTTCACTTCCCGGACAGGCCTGGTGCTGCCTGGCATCCACTGTCTTCAGGTGTCAGCCAGGCCTGGGGCTCCCTGGCATTATTTCCACCTGCCAGTGAGGTCTGGCACTACATGGCACCCACGATTTTAAGGTGACAGCCAGGTCTGGTGCTACCTGGCATCCACTGTCTTCAGGTGCCAGCCAGGTCTGGTGGGACCTGATGCCTACGCTTTTCAGGTGTCAGCCAGGCCTGGGGCTCCCTGGCATTATTTCCACCTGCCAGTGAGGTCTGGCACTACATGGCACCCACGATTTTAAGGTGACAGCCAGGTCTGGTGCTACCTGGCACTGTTTTCACCTTCCAGTCGGGCCTGGCACTCCCTGGCATCCACAGTTTTCAGGTGCCAGCCAGGCCTGGCGCTACCCAGCGCCCACTGTCTTCAGGTGCTGCTCGCTTCAATGGGAGCTGAGGCCACCCGGCACTTAAACAGGAGCCAGCAGCTGGCAGGGTGCAGCCCTGTAGCGTGCACAGGCAGGATTCACTGTTGTCACTGGCAGTTCGTTGATTTTTTTATTTCCCCCCCGCCCCCTGCTCTTTTTGTAGTTGAGTTCCTATTGATATGGTGGCAAGGGGCTCCTGACTGGGCAGGAGACCTTTGTGGCTTCCCATCTTCAAACGGATGCATAACTATGAAGGTGAAATGGGGCTTGATGCATCCGATAATGTCCTATTTGAGGGAGACTCCCTTCCTCTCTGTATGGTTGGCTTTTAAGTACAGTAGGACTGGTGAATTGCCCTGAAGGGGTGAGGGAGAAAATCCAGCAAGCCTGGATGTAATTGGGACTCTAACTCGTGCAGTGTGATGTGTTTAAATGCCAGTGCTCATGATGCCCTTGATCTTGCTCCAGTGAAGTTAGTTGGTTTCTGCGGGAGTAGGATTTGGGGCCTTGAAGCAGGTCCTCAGTTACCTTAATGTATTCAGAGAAGTTAGAGTGGTGAGGGGTGGTTTTATGTTCTGGCCAAACTCCAGAGGCTCCAGCTGGTCTGAATGCTGCATTTGGTCTGTTTTGATGCTGTAGTGTGCATAGAAGTTTGCAGAAGCTTTTAATCATCAGGAATACAACCTGTGTGAGATGCCACTGGCTTGGATGTATGGGTCAGTGGTTAACTAGTAAATCTCAAACGGTGATATCAAGGGGGCATTCTACAAAGGTTTCACCCCATAGTAAGCAGGGCTAAATCAGGAAATATTTGGGAGGGGAAAAGCCCCATGTTTAGGGCAAGGGAAGGAAATAAGTTCTCAGACTGGGAAGTGCATTCAAACCTGGGGAAGTTCTGTTTTCTCTTACTACAAGTAAATCCCTAATGAGGAATCAGTTTGAGGTTCTGTTTTCCCCTTGTTAAGTTTTCATGGTACAGAGCTGAGCAGAGGAAAGAGGAAGTAGTCATCTTTTGTGTGACCCATCTTTAAAGTGGCTTGAGTAGCCTTGTCAACTAAATAAATGTGTGTGGAGGGCAAAGTATCACCTGTCTCTCACATTCCCTACCTACTTCTATATGGAGCAGTTTCTTTTGAACTCTTATCTCCACTCCTCCCTCTCGTTTGGGTTCACAGTAATGCCAGATCTTCATTGTAAGAGTCTAAATATTTTTTGGTATATGCTGCTTCTGTGGACTGTTAATATATGTTCTTCCAACCCCCCCTTTAAGCCCACGGCTTTAGAAGCCAGCTTGAGGATGAGCTGGAGTTCATTTATAGAGTGGAAATTAATAGTTTGAAGGAAACTTAGAGTGTAATTAAGCAGTGTATTAAAAATAATTGTTTTCCCTGCAGTTGTTTACTTTGCTGCTTGCAGCATAGCTGTACACAGCAATCTCTGTTTCTCAAGATTAGAGAGAGAAGTCTGTCAATCACAAATAAGCAAATACCCACTTTGAATAATTAAGACTATATAAAGTAGCTTTCATGTGTATGAAAAGAAAACGGGATCCAGATAGATTTTCATTATTAAGACTCCAGTCCTGCCTTCGAAAAGAAAATACTTGTTTGCTAAGAAGAAACTTATTTATGGGGGTGGGGGGTACAGGTTAGGGTTACACAAAACACACTGTACCTTTTCCCCTTAAATTTCCATGTTTTATTTTTGGTTTTGGAATGCTTGGCTTCTAAGGAGAATTTGTTTAACATAAAACTCCCTTTATAATGCTGTAGCTCAGGCTTCTGTACTGTTTTTTTTTTCTTTCCTGAATATGCAGTTGAGTCATACTCTAGTTACTGTGATCATTAAGCACACATGCTACACTGCTCAAAAAGCATGAGAATTATCTACACCTTAACTGGTGATAAGGTTAACATGTGGCTGTTGGCACACTTTTACTAACTCTGCCACCATTAAAGTGTTTAAGGCTGAACCTATCACTGATGCTTTCCTAAACAAGAATGAAGGGAAGCATTTTGATCTACCAAGTTTTATTTCAGAAGGAATAAGAAAGATTTAGGATTAAACCAAGACCACAAACGCATGTTTTGCTGCTGTTCCTTTAGTCCTGAAATCTTTTACATAAAAATATTATTTCGCTATGTAATATATGGATGTAAAATAATATTTTCTTACAACTATTTTTGGAAGCTTAAAAATAATTCCATCATAATAATCTTACATTTTTGAAAGTAAGTTGTTATGCACATTATTTTGGATGGATTTATTTTTGTCACCGGTGATCTAAAGTATATGCTAGGTCATACAATGTAGGAACAGCTATAGATGTCAAATATTATGTATCTACAGGGTACTGAACAGTAAGTTAGTTGTGAAAATATATTCCTTCCCCCCCACTTTTGTGTCTGAAACCTCAGAAGAGTATAACATTTAAGCATCTCCTCCTCCTCTTGATGCATCTCAGATTCTGTTCTGATTGTTTAAAAACAAAAAACCCTGCTCCTTTCTGGAGGACGGAGAGCAAAGCCTGTTTCAATCTAAGTGAAGCAGCTTTATTGTTTCCTACAGAGCTTTGTGTACCGCTGGGCCCATCTCAGTCTAGTGTAAATTGCATCTGATCATGAGGCCAAAGAGTGGAATAGCAGAGCTCAAGATGCCTTCCTAAAGTGCAGTGGGGAAGCTCTTCCAATAGCCAAGCCCACAAGAGAGACCCTTAACAGCTCCTTCTTGCTGGAGTGCAGAACTGTTTATGCTGTGAAACCTAGAACATCCTGTCTCTTCTTTTTCTGCACCTGGAATAAAGATGTGCTTGCAGTTTAATGTACAGCTTGCATAAATGTGACTTGCAGAAGAGTTTTAGGAAGTGGGGGTTTCTATTGTCTCCTATTGCTCTGCTTTCTTTGTTTGTTGTTCGGTTTTCTTTGTCTCTTTTTAAAGGCCTGAAAGGTATGAGTAAGGTAAAGCGAGCAACAAAAATAGCAACTACCTGCAGTATCATGTCTGCTCTGCCTGGTATTATAAGATAGCTTTGGAAGTGGGCTGAGTCATATTATGATCTCACACCTTTAATTAAAGGGATGTGGTTGTTGAATGTTTAACAGAAATATCCTTTTCCCCCCAAGAATTGATTCAAGCAGTGTTGTTTAATGGGTGTTAACAAGCACCAATAAAACCAGCTTTATGCAATCTGATTAAAAATCATTCTTATACTCTGGCTGAGCTTTGAGTTTTGTGGGTCTGCAGGAATACATAAAAAGCATTGTAATTGCTCACCTCGCTCTTGTGTGAGGCGGCGTCTCCTCCGCCCCGTGTTACTTCCTATAGAATCTATCCGGGCAGACTAGACTTGTATTTGTAATATTTTTATGTTTAAAATCACTTGAACAGGTGTTTTGTCCAGTCCTTCCAGGCTTTTGTTGTACCTCAAAGGGAGTGTGGAAATGAGTGGGTCCAACTTCTTAAGTTTTCCCCTGCAGGTCACATTTAAATACAGGAAACTCAGGCCCGATCCTTCCACGACTAAGTGCCATTCAGCCAGGGTCTTAAGTGTGCACTTCCCTTTCAGCCTGTGCACAGCATCTCGAAATCAATAGGACTGTGCAGGCCTTTGAAGTTAGGTGCATGTTTACACTCCTTGCTGTATAAAGACCTGGAGGTCTGCACTAAGACCTGCACTGAGAAGGGAGGACATGATTTTTGCAATAATCTACTTGAGGGAGGGTAAAGGGAAATGTTCCCTTTAGGGCTTTAAAGCCGGCATTTCAACACCACTTTGTTTGTCTAGTCCTGTAACCACCTTTTCTAAACATTTAATACGCTTAAAGAAGAGTTGTGATTTTTTTTTTTCCTGCAAATGCATTATCATGCATGAATTCACTCAGGTGGGAATTCCTGTGGGCACTGAGGGTACTACTGTGGTGGGTAACGTTATGCATGTGCTTAGGCTTGACAAGACAAGGCCCCAGCTGTGTTGATGTAGCTCCAGTTAGGAGATGCAGACAAGCAGTCTATTTCCCCAGACTGCCCATGTGTTCAAGGAAAAATGATTTTTCTTGAAAAAGGCCTTATGAGAGAACCTACAACTGCCCTTGGGTTAAAGATCTTTAAAAATATGATTGAAGCATTTATTTTTGATGGCAAGAAGGGGGAAATTAAATTTTAGAACAACTTCAGTTTACCTTCATAGAGAATCGGGCACTGATAAAGTGTTGATTGAGAGCTACTCTTAAGGCTGTCCAGTGTGGCAGAATGGGGGTGTTCTTGACAAACAGTGCTAATGCATTTAAAAAAAAAAATATTTTCTTAATTGAAAAGAATATTTTCTTCAGATTGAAATAATCCAATCTGTGGGTCTAACCTTTCAGCTCTGCACAGCTTTTTTTTTTTTACATCGGTGAGACATAACTCATTCCTCCTTTTTTAAATAGTTTTCAGATTTAAATGAAAAGAGATCCCCCACCTTCCTCCTCCCCCAGCCTGGGAGAAATATATTCCAAACTTTAAATGTGACGTGTTTTCTTCAGTCCTTCCAGAAGGCTCGTCCCTGGTGTGTGTGAGGTTTGTTTGTCAGGTGATTTGCCACCTGTGCTTTTTGACAATTAACTGCACCAACCGTAATTACAACAGCCATGTGGGAACAAATATTTTTGAGAGCAAAATTTTAATTTTATATGACAGATCAGATATGAATAACAAAGTAGATGTAGGAAATCAGTAGTTTCTAAATGCAATTTCTTATTCTTAAGGAATCTATCATTCAAGTACATGTATTCAATCAACCAGTCTTAAGAGTTTAAGTGCAGTGATAAGGTCACTATCATTGAATGGGCATATGCTTTTAAACACATTTTTACTTGTGAATTAAAAAAAAAAAAAAATCAGGGTAACTACAAACACCAGTGGCTTAGACAGTTCTTCTCCATTAGTATAAAATTGGGAGTTTTCTTTACGCATACTTGAACTTTTTTTAATGTTGTAACACTTCATGAAATCATCCACGATAACAAGTGTAATCACAACAATGATTTTTTTCATGAGCCTTTTCTGTAAGTCGTCTCTTGTCAGTAAATGTTGAATTGTTAGCGCAAATATCTTTTCTTTTCCTGAGAGAGAAGTACAGACTATTGATTGTACCATTTCCTTCAAAATGAAGGGCATTGCATAGCAATTAAAAATAAATAAAAGATTTATAACATCTTTTAAACATGTCTCATTTTATTAACCATCTATTTTCCTCTGACTTGTTTGAGAAATTGTAGTGTTTTGTGTCTCAAATTGCATGCAGCAGTTGCAACATGTGCTTTTCCAGGTGACTACATTACATTTCACATGAAAATCTTTGGTTGTATCCTAGCTGTCAAGGGAGAAGAAAACTAATCTCTCTGGTGTCTGAGATCATCATTTGGTCTCACTGACACTAGCTCCATTGAATCCAAGAATCGGGCCCATAATTTAATTTTAAAGGTGGGAAATGCGTTCAGCAGAAGATCATACAGCATTAGTTGGCAATCATGCATGTCCTGGCTGCCAACAATTATTAAAGGAACAGATGTACTTTCTGTGAGAATGAGAAATGGGAGCGCATTAGAACTTGCTAAGAGTCGATATAAAATCTGTATAACTGCTCAGTTTGTGTGATGTTTCATGTCACACAAAAAAAGCCAGGGCTGTTACTAGATCTCTGTTCTGCCCTCTGGTGAGAGCTTGGATCAGCCACTAAGTTTAATATTGAAGGTTATGAGGGTTATTCATAGTAATAAGACTCTATCCCTAGGGTGAGTGTTCTTAATTTGTCATGCCTTCTACTGTACATGTACACTGCTGACAAATATGTAACAAGCACAGCATACTTGTTCCCGAGCATGACTTGAAAGCCGCTTGTACCTCACACGAACGGACTCCCTCTGCATACACAAGACCAGCCAGAGGTACTTTATCTGTTGCAAAATGCATTTGGTTTTGCTCAACTTACTAACAGACCACTTAATTCTCTCAAGGGTTGAAGTTGTCCTTCCCGGTCTAGATAAAGTATCATAAATATGATTAAAAAGTGGGTTGCTGGTCTTGGGGTCAAGGGCCTTGACTGTGATTCTGACTGGCCTTCGGTCTGTGACTGTCACAGGCCTCTTGCGTGCTTTTAAGCAAGTCACCTGAGGGACTTGGGTGTTGCAGTAGCAAGCTCTGCAGTGTCTTCAGGGTGATTGGGCGAGATCTGCAAAGAGGGCACAGAGCCAAACTGAGAAATGAAAAGGTGTTACGCACTTAAACATAGGTGTAAATGCAACGGCAGCAGCTACCGTGTTCTTTTAAAATGTATTTCATTTAGTACCTGTTTCGTGTACAGTGCATAAACTGTCCTTGGAGTATGGGCTTGGATGCCCTCAGGCAGATCTATTTTTATTTAGCCCATGCAGTTTTAGGATGTTGCCTTAACATGGCTGAAACAACTTCATCACCAGTGTGAAGAGCTTGAAGGCCACCAGGTAGCATCGTATGGACACAAATCACCAGTCAACAATGTTTCTCATGCAGATGAGAGAACTAAACCCAGTTCTTCCATCCTGGGTCAATGCTCTAGATACTATGGGCACTTCTACACGTGCTCTGGTGCAGGGGTGGGGGGTGCTTTAATTACAGCAGCTCCAAGACCCACTCTAATTAAAGCGCTGCAGTGTTTCATGTATTGGTCTCCCTGTGCTTCAAAATGGCAGTGGGGGTGCTTGAACTAAAGCTTGTCAAACAAGCTTTAGTTAAAATGCCCCTTCCTCCATTTCGAAGTGTGGGGATGCTGATACATGAGATGCAGGAGGCTGCTCTGTGCTGTAATTACAGCATGTTGGAGCAGCCTCCCCGCATGTCCATGCGTACCTTTATAGTACTGTATGGAAAGGGGGAGCTCATTGCCTCCGTGGCTCTATTTTAAAAGGTTTTACACATCGCTCCATCAGTTAGGCATACACTAAAAACACCTACCACCTCACTTGAAGTCCTCCAACCTTCTCTCTGTGGCTCAAAGGCTATTAGGCAGAAGCAGGATAGATTTGCACGTTAAAAACAGAAACTCCAGAAACAAAGTTACCTCGGACAGTAGACACTTCTAAGTTTATAGGGCACTGCCCTGTAGCTCAAGTTCAAATCCCAGCTAGCTAATAGCTGTGAACAAAGGCTCTTGCTTCAAGGGCATGCATCCTACTACCAGAAATGAGACTCGCAGCAAGACAGTTTAGGGTTCTTAAGGAATTAGGGTCCTTTTGGGAAGGCTTCAGCCTACAGTATGCGGGCTGAATCCAGCATATGGAGCGGCAGGGCTTTGCCTGTGCCTGTGTCTGTGCCAGGCAGCTACAAACCACTGCCACTCCCCCAAGTTCCTCCTCTTCCTGGCTGGCAGCTTGTAGCTAGTCAAGCTGGAGTTGGGTTGTTCTGCCCCGGCGTTTTTTTGAGGATTTTGACCCCTGCTTTTGGGGAATGTCTATTTTAAGACTCCCGGTTCAAGGCCTCGGGAGCTTGGCTGAAGCAAGGTCTCTGAGTTCTGGGTCAACACTGGTGCTTAGACCGCTCAGTGCCTGTCCCCTGGGGGAACCATGAATGCTTTGGGCAGACACTTAGGTGCTGGGGGAATTTAGGTACCTTCAGGTTAGAGGGTAGATGAATGGCAACTTGAAGATGTTGGTGAAACCTAGATGGACTAAAAACCTAAAAACCTATAGAGGTACTGAAGCATTTGTGAGGATTTGGACCCGCCAATATAACTAGACATTTTTTTTTTCTTTTTAAAGATATGGGACAAATTAGATGATACATTCAACATTAGAGAAACAAGTTGCTGAATAATCCCGGTTGGAAACAAAGCTAAAGATATGCCATTCTCCTGTGGGTGTCTGAAGTGACAGTGCCCAGCTTCCCCTTTGTGCTGTCACGTGAGCATTTATCCAGGCTTAGGTGTTTACAATGGTCAGGTGCTTAGAGGCAGCCTAAGCTCGCCAGCCCGATCGGTTCACATGGCATGAAGTAATTATAATACAGAGGAAAAAACAACCGTGAAATTATTCAATTTAAATATTACCCCAGACTGTGGGAAATGACTGCAGGAAGAAATACATAACTGTGTCTGAGGACTGGGTAACCTCAGCGTGCCTCATTATGTACATTGTCAGGGTGCTGCTCCCTGCAGACAAGATGTCATTATACTTCGCTTGCATTAAAGCAAAAGCAGTTGTTCCATTATATTTGTTCCTGAATCGGTTGTACTGTGTGAGACTCCAGCGCCAGGTAAATAGAGAGTCGGTACATGGTCACATGTTGGAAACCTGCCACCCGAGCAAGATAACGCCGACAGGGCAACCTTATCTGAGTCTCTGCAATTCCTGGGGGGTGGAAGGGAGACAATGCCTCTTGGAAAAGCAATTCATTTACTTGCAGATAGGAGCATAACAAAGGAGCCTGTTGGATGTTGTTTAAAGCCAGAGCAAGAGGACTTGAATTACAGCACATTCCTAACCTTAGATATGAGGCTAGATATTGACTGAGCACTGACCACGTGTTTTTGAGGTGGGGATCTGCACAACTATTTCTAGATCTGCCTAGGAAGACCCATAGTGGAGAGAAACACTCAGCAGCTACCTGGGCCCGGATTCAACAGAATATTTAAACGTACACTTAGCTCCCGCTGAAGAGGCACTTGAGCATGAGTTTAGATATGTTGCCGATGTGGAGCTTTTGAAATTATTTGGCCCTTGTTGCTGAGCAGATCCTGACATAGTTCTTAGTAAACCTCTGGGTGCATCTACATGTGCTATTAGTGCACATGAATAATAGCTCCTGGGAGTGCAGCACATTGAGCGGAGGGGTTGACTGGGGCACGAGGGTCCTTCAGCACAGAGCTAGACAGCAGGCAGCCCCCACACTGAAGCATCCTTATGCGCCAGCCAGCTGGGGCAGCATCTACGTGTGTGCTGCTGCAGGGTGAAAAACGGACACAGAAGGAGTTAATTAATATAAGTACAGAGTGAATTAATCTGCTGCAGAGTTAATTAATCTACTCCAGCCTAATAAGGGTGTAGGTGTAGACATATGACATTATTGCACATCTAACTGGTCAACTACACAGTAAATATCTTGTGTAGATGCACCCTGTGTATAGCACAACAGGCAAGTGTGATGTAGCACACAGCAAACAAAGCATAGGGCTTTTGTAATGGGTTTGCTTCAACCTCCTTGCACTGAGATATGATCATTTTTCTCAGAAACTTCCTTGCTGGCATTTGCCTTTTTATGAATACATAAGCTCTGATTTACAGACAGGCTCTCAGACTGCTGGAGCACTTTCCTGCCTCTCTTAAAGGGATGGAAGAGAACAGGCTTTGCCACTCAATTCACTCTAAAAAAAGATATCACTAATAATTGTGTTTCATGATTAAAAATACATTGTTCTAATGCTTGGGTTTCGTAGAGGCTGATCCAAAGCCCATGGAAATTGGTGGAAGTCTTTCCATTGACACCAGTGGGTGCTGAAATAGCAAGGTTTTCACCAGTTAGCGTGGGTAAGTATTAGTCTCATTTTACATTTGTGGAAACTGAGGCAGAGAGACAAAGTGACTCGTCCAAAGCCATGTAATATGCAGATCCTTCCACCTGATCTAACAGTGGCATCCCCATTTAGTAGAGAGGGAATCTGAGGCCAGATAGCTTTCTCATTAACTTTCAGAAACTGAGGGGCCTGGGATCTCTCAGAAGGTAGTCATCTCCTACTTGACCCTAGTGTACAAGAACCCTGCTTCATGTAGGAATTAAACCACAGAAGTTCTTGTCAGGTATTCAGACTGCTGGACTGTGAGTCTCTCCAATTAATGTAACCTATTTAGAGTTAGAAGTTCCAGCAATAGCCTTAACTGTGGCCCCTGCCCACGAAAAGATCTTTCATTACATACATGACACTGTTTACAGTGCTTATGATGACTTACTTTAAAAGTCACATCACATATGCCGTCTAGTCAGGAACCTTGGGATATCTAGCAGTTCTCTTCCTGAAATATTCCCCGGATATTATCTTAAAATATAATTCACATCTAGATATCTCTGCATTTGTTTTTATTCCTTTTGGGACAATGCAACATATACTTTTCAAATATTTACTATTAACTATATGGGTTAATACATAGAGATACAGAAGCAGGATGCGCAATGAACAGGACTAGA